TAATACAAATTTTTAAAATTTAAGGGGCTGCAGCCCCCCCCCCCTTCACTGTAGGTAGATCCAATAGTGCTTAGGAAAGGCCCACCGACGACTGTCAATCTCCCACAAGAAATTTCAACACCTTGAGGGCATAAACCTTATTTTTCTTCCAGGAGGGCTTTAAACCTGTACTTCTTTTATTATAGTAAGATTAAGTCAAAGTATTGACTACAAACTCTGCAAGTACAAGCCATGTGGCCTTCCATCTCTTCCCTCTTGAGAATGCCCTCAACTTGAAACCAATCCAGTGCTACTGTAGCTCTCCTCCTTTGTAACTCTAGCTACCCTTATCACTGGACATTGTTACCCAAAAAAAAAATATATATATATACTGGAGGCCTTGTCATGTAAAACTGATATAACTTATTGTTATGCTGGTAATTTATGCAAGTTTCAAAAAATTTCTCCTCTTTTTTACCAAGGCATGTTGACATTAGTTTTCAAGTCAATACACTTTGCTATCTTTTTAATGCTTGGATTGAGGGAAAAATAATGATCCATTTGCTTGGCAGTGTGTGAAACCTATATTTGATCTTTATTTGTAACTTGAAAAATTCACAACAGATTTTTGGTTCGATTCTCGAAGTTGCTGCTGGATTTGTTGTGGGCAAGAAAGGACCTATGGTTCACACTGGCGCTTGCATAGCTAACCTCCATGGTCAAGGAGGTTCTCGCAAGTATCACTTGACTTGGAAATGGCTAAGATACTTCAAAAATGATAGAGATTGAAGGGATTGATCACTTGTGGAGCAGCTGCTGGGGTAGCAGTAGCCTTCTGTGCCCTAGTTGGTGGAGTTCTGTTTGCACTTGAAGAAGTAGCTTCATGGTCTCTCTCTCTCTCTATATATATATATATATGTGAGTGAGTGTGTATGTGTGTACATATATCTATTTATATATCTATCTATACATGTATATGTGTGTGTGCGCATGCGCCAACATGTAGATTCACACATGGTTGGCACCATTTGATTAATCATGGTGCAAAATTGTTAGATCCAATATCTCCTTCAAGGAATTAGGAAGCATTTTATAATTTTTCCCGAATTTTTCCTGGAAATATAACTCCTATGCTGAAAGATAATTTAGACCTTGTTGAGATTTTGTTTCTAGTCATCTATATGAATATTGAAGTTTCTAGAAGGTAAGAATGAGCTATAACAAAAGCACCAAAGAAAGTATGAAGTGCATGTCATACATTTACTTAGATATTTTACTAAATTATTCTTCATGATATGGTCAAACTGTATTAGCTTTCTACCAGAAATCTCGTCACAAGTACATAAATATACTGAAGGACAAAACATGGTTCACTTCTTTACAAGGTTTTCTAGTTTGTTTGTTTTCCATTTACTGAAGCACAATTTCATTCTTCTTTAGGCATTGAATGTCCTTCTTGGTTTCTTTAAGGTGGCGGAGTGCACTTCTTTGGAGGACATTTTTCACAACAGCTGTTGTTGCTGTTGTGTTAAGATATCTCATAGTGTTTTGTAGGAGTGGAAATTGTGAACTCTTTGGGAAAGGAGGTCTGATCATGTTTGATGTTAATTCAGCAATTCCCACTTATAACACCCAGATTTGTTGGCGATCATATTTCTTGGAGTTATCGGAGGTGTTTTTGGAAGCTTTTACAATTATCTTTTGGATAAAGTTCTTCGAATTTATAGCATCATCAATGAGTATGTGCTATATGCCCTCATACAATAAAAAGAATAATCAGTTTTCTGGATCATGCCATCAAAGTGACATTTAACCATTTTATTGGAAATGGCATCGTATTTCTTCCAATTAATTGCATGAAGCAGTATCTAAAAATGATAAATGGTGTAATAAATTGTTCAATTGGTTTTTTCTGGTAATCAATCTCGTAGGCTTTTTATTTATTTATGTTACTTCATTTTGTTAACTTCAAGGTTTCATATTTATTTTGATAATAACAAAACAAATTAAAATTATTATATATTTTTATATAATGAATAAATATGGACAATTTATAATATTAAGTTTATTGTTTAACTACATTACATGTACTAAATTGTGAAATGTCAAATTAGACATGTGTGTAGTAAATTAATTATATTTTACAATAGAAAAGTCAAAAAAATTATAAAGTCAATTTTATATGAAACTACACTCAAATATATTTATTTTGATATATAATTCATCATATATATTCTTTTGTATTGAAGCATTTTATTATATCAATCTCATATATTATTTTCTGAAAAAGTCATTCTTGAAATCTGCACGATATTTGTTTTAATTAGTACAATATATTTTATAATATAAATAAAATTCTGAATTAATTTTATTTGTAAAGTAGACGTGTTGAGCTTTAAATGCATATATTATTTGAACGTTTTACACTTATAGTTTGATAGATATAATGTTTCAAAGTGGGCCATTCTGCTGAGTTGCACTATCAGCAGACAAAATGAGTATACTACAGTATTTTTACAATATCTCAAAATATAAAAGTCAAATTTACACGAATCAAAATTTGAATGAAATTAGACGCTATAAGCTTTCCAAAAATATATAATTTGTTATTTTGAATACAAATTCAAATTTCTAGACAATTTTGATCTTGGCCAACAACTTTTGACAAAAGCAATTTTATAGTCTAGCATATCGTTGAAGATTTGATGATTTCTCTCAAACGGTGCATGATAATTGAATGATTCTTTTTGTATTTGAAAATAGACTCAATGAGAAGTATTCAAGAATATTTTAAGATTTTTTGAACCTTTGGAGCCATTTTATTTGAATTTTTGAATCGAGCCAATGTGCAGTTACTGTTGAGAAATGATTTTGTCTTCTACAAAGGCCAACGTCTGCTTGGTGTTTTGCCTATAAAAGGAGTATGGATTGAAGGAGAGATATACAACAACAAGCTCTCAAAGGCTCTTCAATCTCTCTCTAATTCTTTGTGCTATATTGTTTATTACTAGATCAAAGAGTGCATAAAGGAAATTGTTTTATTCATGAGAGTGCCTCTTTGAAGTGAGATCATTTTGTACATGAGTGGTAGCTAATCCTACTTAAGAGGAATTGCTACATTTCTACTTCATCTTCATTTCTATTTGTATTGGTGTTTGAAGCTCACCGAATCAAAGGCTTTGTAATCGGGATTTCTTGTCTCCGCCAAGTGCAAGGGACTTTGTTTGTATTCAGGATTTCTTACCTCCGTCAAGTGTAAGAGACTTAGTAGAACATCGGCTAGTTGGAGCTCGAGGAGTGGGACGTAGACTTGGGTAGCAAGTCGAACCACTATAAAAGAGTTTGCATCTCTTATCCTTACTTTCTTTACTTTACTTGAAAATTGTTTTATTTTTATTATTGGGTGAATTGTATTAGTTTATTTGATTTAATATTTTTAATATTTTTAATTTTTTCACACACTTAGCTTCCGCGATAAAAACCCAATTCACCCCCCTCTTGGGTTGCCTTTTGGGACAACACCTTTTACATGTCCATAATTATGTATTTGTCCCTTTTCAATATTCTATTTTTATTTATCTGCCATTTTTGTGGCTTGATGGTGGCATTATGTTTGCATCTTTCACTTTGTGGTTATCAATTATGATGTGGCTCGCTCTTGACATCCTTCACATGATTAGCTTCCAAAGATAGTCCAACCTATGAATCAATTATTCTAAATATGATTTTGTTAGCTTGTGAAATGTTATGTGACATCTATAGTATTGCTGGCTCTTGCTGATGCTGAGAATTAATGATCGGAGAGGAGCTGGGTTCAGAATTATGCTTGTTGCCTTCATATCCTTCTTGACCTCTTTTTACTTTTATGGCCTTCGATGGTTAGCAAGGTGCATCCCATGCCCTGTTGGGCTTGGAGATAGCTACCCCACCGTAAGTCACTTTGAAAATTACAAGAACTTCTAGTGTCCGCCAAGTCATTATAATGACCTTGCCCCCCTTTTTCTAAATACCAATGATGACGTCATTCGCAACTTGTTAAACTCTAGCAATAGAGGCGTGTTCCACATTTATACCTTTTTATTTGCTACTTTACTGTGTTCTTCCTTGGTATTGTCACTTACGGCATTGCCACTCCTTCCTGGCTATTCATCCCTGTTATTTTGGCTGGAGCCTCCTACAGGCGCCTTGTTGGTAGATTCTTGATTTCCATATTTGATCTTGAAATTGGCCATTTTGCACTTCTTGGTGTTGCTTCCTTCCTTGATAGGACCATGAGAATGACCGTGTCACTTTGCGTTATAGTTCTTGAACTTATTGATAATCTTTTAAACGCTCCCATTAATGATGTTAGTCCTTCTCATTTCCAAAACCATGGCTGATATCTTCAACAAAGGAGCGTATGACCAGATAGTAGAAATGAAAGTATTACCTTCTATGGAAGCCCGTGCTGAGCCATGCATGAGGAACTTGGTAGTGGGGGATATTGTCTCTAGTCCCTTGATGACATTCTCTGGTGCTGAGAAGGTGGCCAATATATAGTCCACTCTTTGAAGTTAGCAAGGCACAATGGCTTCCTTGTTATTGATGAGCCTTCTTTTTCAGATGCACTAGAATTGTGTGGGCTTGTTTTGAGGTCTCGCTTGTTTTGCTTAAAGGAAAGACATTTACAAAGCAGAGAGTGTTGAGTGGATCCCAAATTTTAAAGAGGTTTCATGCATTTGACTTTGTAAAGCCGGGATAAGGGAAGTGATTCAAGTTGGATGATTTGGGCATTACGGAGGAGAAGATGGAGATGTTTGTAGATCTTCATCCTATAACAAATGCATCCCCATATACAATAGTAGAGACAATGTCTCTAGCCAAAGCTGCCATCCTATTTCAAGGGCTTGGTCTTAGGCACTTGTGCATGGTGCCAAAGACACCTGGGGTTAGTTTGTATTCTTTCATTTACTTCATTAAAAATATTAATAACCAGTACAAATTTTGTTTCATGTTCCTTGGAAAAACATAAATAGGGTCATGTGTATGATTCATAATTGGCATATTGTATTGTTGTGTTTTGCAGAGACCTCATGTTGTTGGAATTCTGACAAGGCATGACCTTATGCTAGAGCACATTCTGGGACTTTACCCACATATCAATCCGCACAAGTAGCTTGAGCAAGAAAAGTACGCATTTGTCACCATCATTATTCTTGTTTATTACTATATGGCTACATGTTTTAGTTATTGTAATTGGAGATTATGTGGCTTTCTTGCTTGGAAGCCAATGATGATGGAAGACAAAGTCAGCCCAGTGCACATGGCAATGAAGATATGAATATTGATACCATGATAATGCCTTTCAACCAAGGCAACATTTTTTGATCTTGTACGCAATCCAGGTCCCATTACTGAAACATTGTACTCTCAATTTTGCTTTGCACCCATGGCGGCAGCCACCCTCCTAGCGGTCGGGGGCAGGGGCGGCATCGGCACTAAAAGGATTAGTTTTGTGGAAACTAAATGGTGTCCTTTCTTGTTTAGTTTACTTGTGATCACATTTCTCAGCTTGCACAAAATAATTTATGAGAATTGCATTTGTTTTATAGGTGTTAGGTGCATATCCATTCTTGTTCTCTGTTCATATCAATAATGCATTCATATGGATAGTTTGTTTCAAGGCTATGCAACTTTTGGTTGAGTACAAGTATGATAGGAAGTAAATCAAATATTAGAATTTATAGTTCCTTATTTTTGAGTGCTTTGACATTCTAGTTGTTATTCAACATCTTCATGTTCTTCGGATATTTCGTTAGAGACATGGTAAAACATTATATGGCTATCCTTGTCTATTTAGATCCTGTATAATGAAGTAGGGTTTTCTAAGAGAGTGTATGTCTGCTCTAAGTGATGTACAAAGCTCTGCTGGATTGTTGGGATGCCAATCCTATTGAGGGAAATTGTTTGGTCCATGAACAGTATTACTTCTGTCACACCATCTAAATATAGCTTGCCTTGATTTTGGCTTATAATAATTCCTCTATACATGTGGTGGTTTTCCATGGAAATTATTGGTCAATGATGGTATTCAGAGTGTTGTACCAATTGAAAATGGAGTCTGAACTTCTCTTCAGTAAGATAGGGCTATTGTAACAACCCAGCCTTCTTCCGCACCCACCCCACCTCAGCAACCCCCCCCCCCCAAAATAAAAAAAAACAGAAAAGGGAAATACAAAAATATTTATTTTTTTAAGAACGAACAATTTTTAATATTAAAAAAGATTTTTTTTTTGAAAAAAGGATTAAAATTTCACTAAGACTATGATGGTTGGGCTGCTTTTGAAGTGGATACATAAGCGCAAAATTAACAAGGTGGAACATCAAATCCAACCCAACCTTTCCATTAATTCTGCCACCATAAGTTGCTTGATTCAGGTGTTTTGATTTATTTGATCTATTAATTTTTTACATACTTCAAGAAAAATATAAGGAATTTTGAAAATAAAATTCTCTTCTGTTTAGGACACATGAGAAATAATCCGAAGTGGAGAGATTTTATTTTTATAATAAAATTAAAACCTTAATGTTTTGCAACGACCCGAGTACTATTGATTGTAACAACTTATTAAGCCTAAACCACTAGTCCAAAATACTTAAATTTAAGTTGTTCAGTAGTAATCTCTAGTCTCTTATAAGTCTAGCATCTCTCCCGTGTTTTATTGATGTGGGATTCGCCTAAGAGTGTCACACACATTCCCCCTTTGGATGTCACATACACTCCCATTTGGGACTCAGTGTCCTCACTGAGATTTGCTCCACCACCGTTCAAGATTGCACGCAGAGTGGCTCTGATACTATTTGTAACAACCTGAGTACTACTGGCCCTAGTAACTTGTTGAGCCTAAACCACTGGTCCAAAATGTTGAAGTCCAAGTTGTTCAGTAGTAATTTCTAATCTCTTATAAGCGCAGTATTTCTCCCGTGTTTTATTGATATGAGATTCGTCTAAGAGTGTCACACACACACGCCCACTTTGGAATGTCACATGTTCATTTAATCACAATACAAAAAATACTATTAAAAAAAGAGTTTCTTAATAAATCCTATTCGTTCTCTTCTTTATTCATAATTCAGGATTCAAATAAAATATTTATCTAGAATTTTAATTACTAAAATATATTTAAAATAAAAAATAAAAATAAAATAACACTGGTGAGAGTTCTAACATAATGTGACCTTGGCAATAGCATATACTTTCTTAATAGGGGCGGAAATGAATTGAGCCAACTCATGATTCGGTTCGACAATTTATTCAACAAAATAAACTCATGAATCAAATAAATGATACATAAATTGAACTCTTTAACTCATATAAAACCTGAGTTGAGCTTGAGTTTAAAAAAATGACACATTTCATTTATGAGCTCTCTCTCTCTCTCTTTCTCTCTCTCTATACACACACACACAAACACACACACACAATACTCATAATTAACTTGTGATGAATTATTTCTTTTTTCTTAATTTTTAAATTAATTACATTTCTTAAAATTCAAAAATAAACAAATATTATTTTTGACTTTTAAAAATGTTGAATATAAAAATCAATTGTCCTTAATTTATTTTTTTAATATTGAAAGAAAATTATTTAGTGATAAAATTGAAATAATTTTTCATTAAGTAATCGATTTGGAAAAGGTAAATTATTGATTTAATAACATTTTTTTTTTCTTGAAAGAGTAATACAACATGAAAATATCATCAAAAAATAAACAAACAATAAAATGCATGTTAGTTAGAAATTGTAATTATGACATAATATTTTCTTATTTATCAAAGGTAATTTGAAACTTTTTATTAAATAAAGTTTTTTATTTTAATATTAATTTAACTTATAGATAAATATATTATTTGGTAATGTTGCTTAAATGAGGTATATAAGTTATCAAATTTTAAAAAATTTTGGATACAAGTGAGTTAATAAGCCAAGTCAAGTTGTTCATAAGTTTAATGTGAGTTGAATTTGAGTCAAGAAAATAAACTCACTTAGAAAATGAGCCGGGCTATAAGTTGACTTTAATTTAAGTGAGCCGAGCCTAAGTTGAGGCTAGCTCAATTCAACTTCGCTCATTTCTACTTCTTGTTTTCTTAACATCCGGCAATTAATTTTTGACGTGTTGTGGAATTGTAACTACATATTTTTCTAAATCTAGTTGTTCTAAACATCTGCTAAAACAGATGCTGTGAAAAATTATAAAAACATTTTTTATGTTTTAGAAAATGAAATAGGATTTTGTTTGAAGTTGTGACAGTGAAATAGTCAACTAATGCTTCAAAATGAATTTAAATTTTGAAATGGAATCTGTTTGGTGCACCATATAACTCCATTCTTGACATTTTCTAATTCTGAGGAAGAAATCATAAATGGTGCCACAAGACATTTGGATTATGTTCAGTAACCGTTGTCAAAGGTCTGTTTGGCTTACAACAAGTGTATATTCAAAATACCCGCATTGAGTATTCTGTATAGGATATTAAATAAAGTGAAACAGTGCTTTTACATTAGATATTAAGTATAAATATAAAAAAATATAAAATATATTTGATATATATATATATATATATATATTAGAGAAGATTAGTTATCCTTTGGCAAAATTGGACAAAGGAACAAAATTTTAGAAAATAGTTCAATGTGGTACATTTTCTACTTGAAATTTGGTAAACTACATTGAATTCTCCTCCCACTTTGTGTTGATTTTTTTTAACAAATAATTCGAGTTGTTTTAAAAAGTTATTTGATTCATTCACATCAAAATCATATACCAAGCAGTTTTTTAAAAAAAATTAATTTTTTTAAATGCATTTACAAAAAAAAAATCAATGAAAGCCACAAAAATGCAATCTATTTCATTACTCTCAAGCTTTCACATAAAAATTATCTTTTTTGAGTTTCAAATAACTTCCTGAATTTCCATAAATTTGTTTAATTAAAATTTCTTTTCTTTTATTTTTATAGATGCTCTCGTCAATTTTACTAGTTAAAATTACTTCTGACCTCAAACCCATATTTCTCGTTAATTTAAATGAGACTACTATATGATTGTTTAGAAATATGGCATTGTCAACTTACCCAGACGCAACTTTTTAGTGTCAATTGGGTGAGACAAATGTTGAATTATGGTAAACTGCTATTAACTAATTATCAATTCTCCATGGATACTAACATTGAGCCTACCGTTATTTTCATTTTAAGCGTTATTCATTTCAAATAAATAAACTTTAAAAATATGGCTCCCCATAAAATTAATAAATAAATGAGATGGAGAGTAAATGTTCGTTTTTCAAAATGAAATGGTCATAGCTTTTGTGCTGGAATTTTTGATAGCACAGAATATTACCACCAACCGCCCCCCCCCCCCCCCCACCCCCACCCCACAAAAAAAAAAAAAAAAAAAAAAACTAGTAAGGTGCTTAAGAATCCAACAACTAAATTAGAATAAATTTATTAGAGGGTGTGAGATAAAATTTATTGGGTCCATTCAGGTTGATCTCTTTCTGTGGTCTTCTAGTGATTCTAGCAACCGGTGTCATGTGGGTAAAACTGTAAATTCTCTTATTATCAAGTATTTTTATTTGTTTGTGGTGAAATTGAACCTAATGTAATATAATAATACAAATTCCTGGAAGAATATAATAGTTTTATGATGAATTTATTTTATATTATTTTATCTTTATAAAATTATTGAACATGTGCTGATAATATAAAAAGAAAAAATTTATTTAACTTATTATAAATATCGATACTTTGATTTACTGATGACATTGACAATATTAATAATAAGTTATAATATGACAGTTATAATGTAGTGGCAGCAGCGATAATAATAGTTTCACAAAGGAGAAATAAATAGTAACAACCGTAATATGCTGATAACAATCATATAATGAAGTATTGATGCTTGGTTGATTTGTTAAGAAGGGGTAACAAAAGATAATCACAGTAACCTGAAAAAGGTCATACTAGCAGCAGTTACGGCGGTTATTAATATAAACATGATAGTAATTAATAAAAGAACAATTATCCTCGTTATATGCGCCTTATTCAACGTGATATTTTATTGGTAATATCAGAGTAGTAATAGTATACAAAAGCGCAAAAATCATTTTGTCTTTTTAAATTTTTTTATCTTATTTATTTTCTTAAATTATTTACTATACTATTTAATCTTTTGTGATATAATAATAAAAAGGGTAAAAAAATACTCTTTTCATTCTAGATTTACTTAAGTGATATTTAACTCCATTTTTATTATGAAAATACATTTTCTCTTTTTA